CTAAAATGGTCTGATACATGGAGTCTTTCTTAGTCTAGAATAAAGTTCCTTTAATTTAGGCAAAGGATGTGGAGTCAGGAAGATTTGGGTTCAAATCCCACCTCAGACACTTATTACTGTGTGACCCTGAGTAAGGAACTTTGCCTCCTAGTTTCAGTTATCTAATCTGTAAAACGAGGAGAATGAACTCCATGGCCTTTAAGTGCATCCCAGTTCTAAATCTATGATCCTATGATAAAATCTTATTGATAAATTTAACAATATTAATTCAATACAAAAATTCCTAAAATAAGATAAAAAACGAATTTAAAAGAAATCCCAATCACTAAAGAAACTGGCAAAAAAATTTAATTTGATTTAATATGAATTTTTCCTCAGTTACTGAAATAAAAACTAAAAGAAGAGAAGAGGAAATTAAGCAAAGAACCATTGAATAACAATTGTTATAAAAAATGAAAAAAGCAGAATGTCACAGTTAAGTATATGAAACAGAAATTCACAATGGCTTTTTCACATTCATAAAGTGTTGCCTGTGAAACAACACTTAATTATGCTTAACCAAGAGAAAAATAAAATGGAAGCAATTAAAATTATTCAAGTTAGGATTGCCAGAATTAATTTTATAATGAGATTTCAGGTCTATTGGTACAATACTATAACTGAAACCAGAACTATCTTTCAATTTCATTAGACTATCAGAAGAATTAAGTTAATCAAAACTAATCCCATAATAGAAATTAAAAAGTAATGACTGTCTTATATATAGTACAGTAGATGGATTACAATCTTAGCAAGAATGAATGAATTACTAAAAGATAATACTGGAAAAAACAGGAAAAAAGTTGGGGGGGGGTTTAATACTGATAAAAGAGAAACTCTGGTTCTCAAAGCGAAGGAAGAAAGATTAGACAGTTGAATTACAGAATATTCAGAATATTTAAACTGTCTAAAACATAGGTTCAACAAGATAGTTGTAGAAATACTTTAGTAATCTTCTTAGCTGTTTAATGAGTCACAAATTCATTACATCAAAACATATCCTTCTGTTGCAGTTTTTTTTAAAAATATGACTTTCAAATTTATAAGTTGTTTTTTCCCCTACTCTGGTTTAAGGAAAATGAGGCACCTAGTTTGCACAGTGGATAAAGAACTGGGTTCCAATCCAATTTCAGACACTTCCCAGTTACGTGACCCTGGGCAAGTTACCTAACTTCATTGTCTATCTCTGTTTCCTCATCTGTAAAAACAGGGGTGATAACAACAGTACATACTGGGGCAGCTTGGTGAAGCAGTGAATAGAGCACCGGCCCCGTAATCAGGAGGACGTGAGTTCAAATCCAGCCTCAAACACATAACACTCACTAGCTGTGTGACCCTGGGCAAGTCACTTAACCCCAACTGCCTCACCAAAAAAAAAAAAATAATAATAATAATAACAGCAGTACGTATCCCCCAGAGTTGTTGTGAGGATAAAATGAGATAATATTTTCAAAGTGTCTTGCAAACTCTAAAGTGATACATAAATGCTAAATAAAATGATAAACTATGTGCCAGAAAGGGAGAAAACCATAATCTTTAGAAAGCTACACAGACATTTCATTTTTATGCTTTCTCTTCAGCTATGTCTTGGCAGCTAGTTGGCAGAGTGACTAGAGTGTGGGGCCTACCATCAGGAAGACTTATCTTTCTAAGTTTGGCCTGAGACACTTACTAACCACGTGACCCTGGGCAAGTCACTTAACCCTGTTTGCCTTAGTTCCTCATCCATAAAACAAGCTGGAGAAGGGAATGGTAAACCATTCCAGTATCTTTGCCAAGGAAACACCAAATGGGATCACAAAGGGTCAGAAACAACAACAACAAAGGCTTCTTACATGTAAGATTTCAGCTGGGACTTCAAAAAAGCTAGGGAATCAAGGAGGCAGTGATGAGTAGAAGAACATTCCACCAATGGAGTCAGCCAGTGAAATGCTGAGTCAGGAAAAGGAGTGTCTTGTGAGAGATAGCAAGGAAGTCAGTGTTACTGAAGAGAGTACATTGTAGTAAATAAGGTGTAAAAAGACTGGAAATGTGTCAGGAGGGAGTTATAAAAGGGCTTTGAATGTCAAACAGAGGATTTTACATTTGATCTTGAAGTGATAGGGAACCAGCGGAGTTTAATGAATACAGGTGTGACATGGTCAGATCTATGCTTTTGGAAGATCACTTTGATAGCTGAATTTGATCACTTTGATGGGATGCAGTGGGAAGAGATTTGTGGCAGGGACTGAAGGTTTAGCTAACCCAGAGAGCACATAAAATGGAATAAAGGAGAACAAGCCTGAAAAGGTAGGCTAGAACCAGATGATAAAGAGCCTTAAATGCCAAAAAAAAAAAAAAAAAAAAAGTTAGTACTTGAACCTAACAATCAAACATTAACTAGCATTTACTAAGCACCAACTATGTATCAGGTTATGTACAAAGCTCTGGAAATACAAAGCCAAAAATACTTGCTCTCTATATTTATATTCTATTAGAGATTCAACATGTATACATATACTATATAAAGAAAAATATAAAATAAATACCAGGTAGTTTAGGCAAGGAGGGTACTAACATTGGGAGTGGTAATACAAAGTTAAGAAGAAAGAGAGATAAGGAGTTCTGTTTTGGAGAAGCTGAATTTGAGATACTTATACGTCATCCTGTAATGTCTGAAATATCAAACGGGCAAATAATGATATGGGCCTAGAGAGGGACAGAGGGAGGGAGACAGAGAGAAGGAGGAAGAGAGAGAAAGAAAAAGAGAGAGAGAGAGAGAGTAATTGGCATAGAGATAAAAAGTGAATCTACAGAAGTTAATGAAATCAGCTAGAGAAAGAAGAGAGCTAGGAAGGGGCCTTGGGGTACACACATGCAAAGGGGGTGAGGCAAGGAAGATAATCAGGAAAGAACACTGAGGAGCAGCCAGTTAGAATAAGAAACCAGTAAAAAGTAATATCATGGAAATCCTTGTAAGAGAGAAGGGTAACTAGCAAGAAGATGTTCCACAGCAACTAATACTGCAGAAAGATTTAAAAAAACTGTAACATGAAAGAAAAACTAGCAACCTTTAAATGATATTATAATCATGGAAAACTGTACCAATTATAATCATAATAATAGCATTTATACATAGCTTTAAGATTTGAAAAGTGCTTTTACAAATATCTAATTTTATCCTCCCAACACCCTTGACAAGTAGGTGCATTATCATCACCATTTTACAGATGAGGAAACTGAGGCTGCCAGAAGTTAAATGACTTGACCAAGGTCACAAGCTAGGAAGTATCTGAAGCTGTATTTAAACTCAGTTATTCCTGACTTCCGCTCCAGCACTATATCCATTGCACCACCTTTTCCAAACTCTTCCTTAATGCCAGTGCCATCACTTTGCCGATCATCCTCAATTTATCCTGAATATGTCGTATTTGTAAAGTTTTTCCCCCATTAAATTGTGAGCTTCCTGAGAGCAGGGACTATCTTTTTGCCTTTCTTTGTATCCCCAAAGGTTGGCACCATGCCTGAGACATAGTAGGCACTTAAATCCTTGTTGACTTGTTCATTTATGAGCTATATTGTAAAATTCATCTAACCATTATTAAATAGCAGAGACCTTGAAGACATAATAATGGTTTAAAAAAAAGTTGACAATAATGGACAAATGATTCTATGATAATAAATCTATTTATGACACAGGTTCTACATATTCATAACAAAGTCAGATTCTAGTCCTCTTTATTTTCAATGCATTTTGAAACGTACAAGTACAAGGTATCACTATTGTTCTTAATGGAGTAATCAAAAGCATCATCAGGTTTCTTAGTAAAATTTAAAATCCAATCTGGAATTAGAAAATAACGAATTTACATTTCTATGAGACATGTAAAAAGGATAATAACTTCTCATAACAAGCTCTGAAAATTCCATTTTTACTTTCAAAATCCATCTAAAAAGAGGTATCACATCAATTTAGCAAACTGTTTATGGACTGTAAAAATACCTACAATATCAGATAGAGAGGTCTATTGTAAGAAAACATGACATTCTTGATGGCATTTCACTACATCTTATATATGAGAAACAATTTAGAATGACCTTTCAAGTAAAGCTCATGGTTCAACTTCTAAGAAATATTTTAATATATATGAACATGTTTTTTTTATTTTAGTCTTCCTTTAAAACCACATGTCATATTCTAATTAAATGTTTCTCTAACTTGTCTACTGAACACTTTTGGCCTTGAAATACTGTGACACTGTCCAAAAATGTTGGAGAGAGAAGCATGGGGTTACATAATTGATGAGCAGAATAGAACAAATTTAGTCCATTTTCATTTTGGAAAAATATGTTAATTAAGTATTTTTGATCATAGATCCTTTGTAGGAGAGATTCTTAATCCTTGTTTTGTGTGTCATGGGCCCCTTTGGCATTCTAGGGAGGCCTATATGGCTCCCTTCCAGGAATAATCCTTTTAAATTCACTCAATGAAATTTATGTCATTCCTGAGAAAACCAATTATGTTGAAGTACAACTATCAAAACATAAAAAAAAGAAACAATTTCACAGAGCCCACATTAAGAAGCCCTGCTTTATCTGGAAAGCTGGGAGGCACCTTAGAATTTATCTAGTACAACTTCTTGATTTTAGAGATGAAGAAACCAAGGTCTAGGTCTAAAGTGGTCAAATGGTTTGTCCAAGCCTCACGAATGGTAAATAGCAGAGTTGAGATTTGAACCTAGATCCTGATATGGGTTCCTATATGGGTTGCCATCTATGATTTCACAGTTAACATTTTAGAGGGGATATGATAGCATCAAAAATTTTTCTTAGAACCCCTATTTAAATCATGTTATACAATAAGATTCTATGAAACAGTCTGAGAAATACTATGATATAATTCATCAGTTCTTAAATAACATTATAAAATTTACAATTGTTGATGTTGATATAGGACACTGGAACAAAGATACATCACTTACTTCATCAGCAATCATACACCTAGGAAAAAAAAAGAAAATAAAACAATTATTTTTAATTTTTAGAATCTATTATACTTTAAAATTATGATTTTTCAGAATTTCTCAAATTAAGATCATTTCAGAAAGCAGTCTTGACCAATTAATTGAAAGCCAGAAGAAGGTGCTTATGTGTTTGCAAGGACAATTTTAATTCTGTGTGTCTTTCCAATAGCCAAATGCACGTGGCTATGCTGGAGTCTTGTTAAGTCATTCTGATGCTTTACACAGCCCTCTCACAAGAATAGCATCAATGACCTACCTACAAGGTACGAGAAACCTTCAAATGCTATGTATAAGCAGCTAGCTTAAAGGCTTCTAGATTGGTTCTTCAATGAATAGTAAAGGCTATATAAGTGCCACAAATGTCTAAATCCAAGATATACATATTCCTAAATATGCTAAATTGTACTAAAGCAGTTTTTTCCCTCTCTTCCCTATTTCTCCTCATTGACTTTTGTTTATCAATGAATACACACAGTGTGTGCACACAATATAGTGGAAAGAGCATTGGTCCAAGAGGCAGAAGACTTAGGTCAGAGTCTGACGTCAATATTTACTGGCTCTGTAAATCTGATTAAATCTTTAAATCCCCCTTACCTTTAGTTACTTCCCATGTAAAATGTGAACAACAGTCCTGGTGTGGCCCACCCTAGAGGGCTATTCTGTATGTGTACTTTCAACTGCTTTGTAAAGCTCAAAGTCATTATATTTTTAGAAACAACAAATTTGGAGGCAGAAAAGCAAAGTAAAAAGAGTGCTGGATTGAAAGTCAAGAAGATACAGATTCAATTCCTGGCTCTTTATCTTTGGTAGGGTAAAATAAATATTTATTTGCTATATGACTATGGATAAGTTACTTAACCTCTCAGGCTCAGACAACTCAATGACTGTAATGTATGTTACTGAAAGTTCTCCCACCAAGGAAACATAGATTTTCATGGTACTACTATGATTAATTTTACAACAAAGGCATGAAGATGGGTGATGCTAATCAATTAAAAAGCATTTATTAAATATTTACTATGTACTAATTACTGTGCTAAGTACTGGGGATACAAAGAAAGGGAAAAAGGCAAGGCGAACCAAGAATTCACTACCTACTATGTGCAAACTAAGGAGGAAGAGTAAAATAAACCAAAGTGGCACACAGAATGGAAAAGAATACTAGGATTACACATGATCATCTAAACAAAGAATTCATTTCCAGGAAAATATGTTCTCTGTGAAAGTACTAGTAAATCTACTAAAGAAATGAAGGGAAAAAAAAAAGAAATGAAGGAATATTACATGATATACCAATGGAAGTAAATGCTCCTTCAACTTTCCCACACACGGTCCCCTACTTTCTTACTTGCTGATTGTAACGCCTCTTTCAAATGCTACACTAACACTGTTAAAACTCCTTCTAACACAAAGTACAGGGTAGGGATTTATTCATTTGCTTAGTTATTATAGCAGTAATAACTGATATTTATACAACACTTTTATGTTTTGCAAAGTATTTTACACCAGACTACTACCCTTGGGGCAAGTATTGCATATACTCTTATTCTCATTTTATGGATGAGGAAACTACGGAACAGCAGGGTTAAAAGGCTTGCCTCTGTGCATAGAGCCATTAAGTGTTAAAGGAGAAATCTGAACACAGGTTTTTCCTAGCTCCAACTTCTTCAGTGTTCTTTCTATGTAATACTACCTCAGTGGATTAAGTCTAATAACAAACTAGAATTTTGAAACCAAAAGTCCTAAAAGCATCTGACAACAATATTATAGAAAAAAGTCCTCAATTCTAACTTCAGCTTAACTAAAACAATCCATTTATGTGAAAGATAAAAAGGACCAATGTTCTTTATATCAAAAATGATTTAGGAAGTTTAAAAAAAAAGCACAGGAATATGGACTGAAAAAATAATCCTTTCCTTTAAGATTCATAAGATTAGCCCCAACTTTTCATTTTGAAACCCAAGGAAAGTAAATGAAAAATTTTAAAAGAGCTTCTCTTTAAAAAAAAATAAAACCCAACCCTTCTTTAAAAACATATAATATTCTTAGGAGGCACCCTGGTGAAGTGGAAAGAGTCTCAGGAGGTCTGAGTTCTGATCACAACTCTGCCACTAATTAGCTTGGCAATCTAAGCAAGGTCAGTTTACTTTATGTATATTATTTATTTTGCTCATCATAACAAGTCGTTGAATTAGGTAGCAAGCTGTCGATAATATTCCCATTTCATATATGAACTTGGGTTCAGAGAGATGACTTGCTCCATTTTCTAACTAGGATCTGACAATGGGGACTTAGGTTCTCGATATTATGTCATTTCTGCCTGTGGGATGAAAGGAGTAAAGCTCTAGGGAAAATGAGAAAGAAAACCGACAAAACTGAATTTATTCAACCACAAGGTAGTGAATAATTCTACCCAAAAAGTAAACATAAGTGAAAACCTAAGTAATGCTAATTTTAAATGCAAATTAAGTAAACTTATAGTATATCAGCCATAAAGACTTTATGCCCCTACTTAAAGAGTCTCCTATTTCTAATTTTAGAGGCTTATTATCTATCACAGCAGTCCATTTGGTTCTATTGGTATCAACTGTAACTAGACAAATCAGTTCCAATGCTTTTTATCAACATGATTTAAGTTTTACTTGTCTGTGATCAAAATTAAGAGTCAGCAGGCACATTGCTATCATAATCAATAAATTAATTAACAAGCATTTACTTGTTAAGTAACAGTGCCTACTATGTGACAACCACTAAGTTAGACACTGGGAATAGATATAATAGCTAGCATTTACTATAGCATTTCAAAGCTTGCAAAGAGCTGCAAATATGTTATCACATAAAATGAGAGTCTAGATCCTCAAGGAGCTTACAAGCTCTTCACGTAGGCAACAGATGCATACATAGATACAAAATGTTTATTAGTCAATAAGCATTTAATAAGTACCTACTAGACACCCAGCATTGTGCTAGACATTAGGGATAAAAGTACAAAAAAGGAAACAATCTCTATTCATGAGTGGCTTACATTCTAATGGGGAAAGAAAAGTACAAAGACTAAAGTATAAAGTACAAATATAAAGTGAATGAATATAAAAACATATCAAGGTACTAAATAAAAGGTAACACGGAAGGGAAGGCACTAGCAGTTGGGGTGGATCAGCAAAGGCTTGATGCAGAAGATGGTGACTCATCTTTCTCTTAAAGGAAGGGAGGCTCTTATAAGATGCAGATAAGAAGGAAATGCACTCTAGGCATGTGGACCAGCCAGTGCAAAGACACAGGTACAGATGGACGGTCTTGTGTAAGCAACAGAGAAAAGACAAGTTTAGCTGGACTTCAGAGTCCAGGGTGGAAGTAGAGGTGGAAGTGAGGTTGGGGGTGGGGAAGAAGGGTGTGGCAATGCAAAGAGCTTTGGAGCTATGTTGCAAGGGCTTTAAAAATCTTTTGTTCTAGAGGATATAACAAGCCAGTAGGGTGGATTTAGTAGGGAAGTCACACAGTCATATCTGTCATCCTATAGGACACTCAACTGGCAGCACTACACTTACTTCTATATATGATGTAAGCTCCTTGAGGGAAGGAAAGGTTTCATTTTTGTCTTTGTATCCTCAGGACCAAATACATAGAGGGATATCCAAATCAAAGATTCATTGTAGATGCTGGGCTCCTCCAGATTCTCTTGTTTGTGGATGAAACTGTCCTGGTTTCAATCAATTAGAATTTGGACAACTTAGTCATAAAAGAAAACTAACCAAAAACTGTCCAAGGGATTTGGGAAGACAAATGAGCATTTCTTAAGCATCTACTATATGTTAGACGCTCTGGTAAGCACTTTAGAAATATTTTCTCATTTAATCCTTACAACAACTGTGAGAGGTAGGTGTTATTATTAGCCCTATTTTACAGCTGAGGAGACTGGGGCAAACAGGTTAAATTACTTATCCAGGGTCATCCAACTACTAAGTATGTGAGGCTGGATTTGAACTCCTGATTCCAGGCCCAGCAGACTAGCCACTGTGTACTCTTTGTGTTCCACATGTATGTTCATCTTGTAATAAACCTAGTTTTCAGGTAAATTTCATAAATTTGAGATTGCCTGTTGAAAACCTGTTCAGAGACCCAAGGCGGCAGTCTAAGCAAAAGATGAGGGCCTGAACCTGTGAACAGTAAGAAAAAGTTGGACACAAAAGGAATTGTGCAGGTATTTCATGAGTGAAATTTAACAAAAAGGTAAAATGAGGCATGTTTCTCCAAGCAAAATAATATTTATTAACAGGGGCATGCTGCCTGTCAATAAATGGGTCAGCGGATTGCCTCCATTTATTCCAAAGACCCTGAGCAAAAGGGCAACTCCTCTTTTATAGATTTTGGGGAATAAAGAACAACGAACAGAACAGGGTAGATGGCGTCATGAGATTGAGGATAACACGACTGGTTACAGAGCTGAGGCACAGGGAACAATATGACTGACTGGAAGTTCGTTAATAAGGGCTAACCACCACACTCTCCTCTCCTGAAAGTCCAGGTGCAAGATAGAGGCAAGAGAGAGGACAGTCAATCAAACATCCTTGAAAGGATAGCTTTGTGATGTAAAGTTATTAGACCCGACTCCCTTTAGTTCACATGGTATCCCCCAAGGTCAGCTAAATTCCTTGAGGCAAGAATAGATCAGTGATGAACAGGAGAGCTGGGGTTTTCAACTTAACTCATTACAGGCCAGCTGAGTCTCAGAACTAAGTTCAAGGACAAAGAATCATGATTTAAGCAGCCACAGGACAAAAGGAATTAATTGTAAATGGGATCAGTGAGAAAATAATACAGGATCAATTCAATCTTCTCAAGTAGAATCTGTAAGACGTGGCAACTGCTTGGATATATAGGAGGCAAGGGAGAGTGAGGGATCAAGGATATCCCAGAAGCTATCAAAATGATTGGGAGGGTGGTGGTACCCTTGATTGAAATCAATAAGTCAAGAAG